CTTATTGGCTTGCTTCCAGTTGTGGGTCAGAATGATGTGTGACCCACTCAGCCCATAAGGTGATGGCGAGAGTGAAGTCCAGGGCCTGGAGCTTCAAAGGCCAGGCTGAAGCAGCTGACGGGCCTGGGGCGGGTGGAACTGATGCACAGAGCTGAGTAATGCCTTTTGCTCCTCCTTTCTCCATTGTCCTCCCAGGGGAACTTTTGGAAGAGTCCCAGATGGAAGCATCTAGGCTGCGGCAGAAGGCAGAGGAGCTGGTCAAGGACAACGAGCAGCTCCCACCACCATCGCCCTCTTTGGCTTCCTTCGACCATCTACCTGAGCTCACAGGTCCAAGGGGAGCCTGGGTTGTCCTCTGCCTTCCTTGTGCTCATGGCTCCCTAAACCCCTTTCTTGTCCAGAAGTCCACATCTCCTTCATTTACCCTGGGGCCACACACCATCCTTCCAGTCATGTTTTGGCTACAGTGTCCCCCAGAAGGTCGGATTTGGATAGGACTTCAGAATAATCTTGTCCAAAAATGGCTGGTGACTCAGCATTCCTGAGGCAAATATTAGTTATGGATCCCAACAATGGGATCAATGGGATCCATCCCAGATGTGGCCTCAGGATCTTTGTCAGTGTATTCAGCACATATTTAATGAGCAGCTACTAGGTGGCAGGCAGAGTGCTCCAGGCGGCTGCTTCAAGTCACTCAGAGTTGGCATATGAGTCAAAAGCTCTCTGGTCCAGTCTCTTACCTTCCACTGTACACTGGGAAAGCTGAGGTCCATGGAAGAATCTGGACCCGCCTATTAGCCTGCTGTAGTGTATGTCAGATGTAAAGTTACATATATTAACTATTAGAGGAAAACATTGCCTGTGGCTCAAGGGTAAAGTCCTGTGTGTGGTCACCATGCATTCTTCTGGCGTGTCTCTGAGTCTAGAGGGCAAGGTCTGGAACTAGGGAGGAAAAGGACTCCACATAGAGGCTCAGAGGCCTCCTGCTGCAGCCCCACCTACAGTCCCTGCCCAGGCCAGTGTGCCAGCCTTCCATCTGACTGCCAGCTACACTGGCTGAATGGACAGATAGAGGAAAGTGATGATATCAGAGTCATCACTTTGGGTGCTTCCAGTCTCCACTTGTCCATTCAGAAGTGTTTCTGAGTCCCAGATCGGTGCCGGACCCATCCCCAGAGGGAACCATGCAGTTATTCTCAAGGGGCCCCCTGCAGCAAGAGCCCCAGGAGACCGGGGAGGGAGAGCTAAGTTTGAGTCTTGGTTTTGCAGTTGCCGGCTATGCGACTGTGGGCCCATTGGTGACCTTTCCAAGCCTCAGGTTCCTTACCTTTAAAATGGGAGTACAGAGCTGTCATGAGAATTGACTGAGATAGAAATATAAAAGCACTTTGTTAATTGTAAATTGTCATCCTTGTCATCACTGAGGCAGGTCCAGGGTACCAAGGAGCAGTGGCCACCTTGGGATTTTTCCAGCAAGTCCAGGGAAGATGGTCTCTCTGCCCAGGTTCTGTCTCTGTCATGCCAGGGCTGGTCATTTCCCCAGGCTACCTGGCACTGGTGGGACCATGTCCCATTTTCCCAGACTCATGTAGAAATTCTGTCTGAGAACTGTTCTGGCCAGGACTGTTGTCAAGGGGGTGGGATCTGGGCTTTTCCCCTTCCCCTGCTGCTCATCCATGTTTTCTTAATTCTCCAGGGAAGGATGCAAATGTCCCAGTACCGCCCGCCGACCCTGCACTCCTTAGCGACAAGCCAGAGCCAGTCCCAAAACCACCATCCAGTGTAAGTTGCATTTGGAGTTCTGGCCGAAAGTTGCCTGGACTTGAAAGTCTTGTTAGCAGCACAAAGACGGGAAGAGAGGGTTGGGGTCTAGAAGCCTAGGTTCTGACTTGATGTGTGATGTTGCACGGGCTGATCTCAGTCTCTCTGGGGCCTCAGTTTCCTCGTTTTCAAATGAAGATCTTAGTTAAAACTCACTGGGAAGACCCTGGCATGCACAGGGTCTTCCCTTATACCAAGTTGCATAATATGAAGCAGATATTGATTGTGCACACGGCCAGGAAAACAAGGTGGATGTGGTGACATGGAACTCATATTCTCAAAGGGAGTTCAGAAACTGTCTTCTGTGGATTTGCCGCGAGAAGTTTCATTTGGTATCCTAGGACTGGAGGAAACCCAAGTGATTGTATCATTTGACATTATCCTATACATCAGGGCCAGGGAGAAAAGAGCATTTTCCAAGGTCACGTAGACAGCGAGGGCAATGTAGAGGTGAAAGATTTTATAGGCCAGGGCTGAGATCCAGAGCTGGACCGCTGGGGCCACGAGGCTCAGTGGGAGCTGTGTGCAGAGCTCCTCCCATCTGTCGGCCCTTTCCTGGGACAAGGAGAGGCTGAAGTTGTCTTTGTAGACCAGGCTTAATAGCAGTCCCACAGTCAGTTGCTGGTTCAGAGAGACCATCAGCCTATCCGTTGGGAGTGGCCGAGAGTTGTAGGAAAGACTGGGAGTCCTTAGCCAACCTGGATTTGGGTGAATCCTAAAAAAAAAAAAAAAATCTCTCCAGATTTGTTGAAGCATCTTTGGTACCTATCCCAGATCAGCCCGCTCCTCTGGGTTGGGCTTCTCTGAGACAGAGTTGGCAAGGCTGGTATAGGACCACCTTGGCGGTGGCCACACTAACTGCTAACTGGATTCTCTGGGCAGTCAGCTAGGGACCCTTGGGCCGTGAAGGCAGCTCTGGTACCATGGCAGGAATGTTGGAGTTGTAGGCCTTGGGTTCAGTCCCTACTTTTACATTAACAGAATGCCCTCAGTGTCCTCATCTGTCCAAAGGGGATATAAACTTCTGACCATAATGGAGTTCATGAAAACATTTTAAAAGTTCAAGTTAAAAATAAAATCCTAAAGTACTAACAGTTCAAGATCAGCTAGTCCAATATCTGTGTTTTTAGAGGTGAAGAAACTGATCATGGCAGGGATGTGACCTCAAATGACACCGTGGGTTGTGGGCAGATTTCTTGGGAACCCTGCTTTGTGCTCTCACATGAAGCGATGTGTAACTGCCTAGCGAGCTCAGCCTCTGCACAGAGGGACTGCCTGGGCGAACTGGATGTGAGAAGGGGTTTTGTCCTCCCATTCTCTCTCCTCCCCGCTGCTCTCAGCTGTGGGTTCCCGGAGAAGGGCTGAGGTGGTTTTCTCTCAGGCCGCCCCTACCTCCCTTTCTGCACAGGGCACCTCCTCTGAATTTGAAGTAGTCCCCACCGAGGAGCGGAATTCTCCCCCGAAGAGCGGCGGCCACACCAGGAGCCCGATGGTGAGTGGATGGCAGGTCCCTGGGCACGTCCCACATCTCCTCTCTGTTTCAGTCACCTGGCCCTGAGTGAGAGGCACAAGACCTGCTCACAGGACCTTGGGTACCCTGGAGTCACTTGGGGATACATGGGGGGCTGGAGCAGAGTACTTCTCGCTCGCATATGCAAATCCCTTGCTGGTGACTTCCCCTACTTGGGTCACACAGGCACCGATCATTGTGAAAGCTTGGGCACATTGCCAGACCTGCTGGTCTCCGCTGAGCGCCGGGCACCTCCACCAATTATAACTTAGCCTTTGAACTGATGGGCTTCTAGCCCAGGTAGAAAAGAAAGGGTCAGGAGGCCCAGAGTGGCTTATGGCAGGTAATTTACTCCTTTGTGCAGGCTGAGTATTAAAAAGGGTCTGTATTTGTCTCCTGGGAACTTCTGTCGCCTTGTCCTCTTTAGTCCTTGAGGGCTCTGAGAAGATGGCTGAGGAGACAAGAAATCCCTTCTCAGAACGTATTTTACTCTCTGACCTTGGACCAGTAACTCCATCTCCTTAATGAGTTCCTCAGTCTCCCCTTCCTCCCCTTCCTCACCACCCCGCCTTCCCTCACCCCGCGGTGTGCATAGTCTGTGCTGAGCAAAGACAAGACAGCCTCTCTGCCCTCTGGGAGCTTGTAGGCTAGTGGGAGAGATGAGAGGATGAAGCAGTTCATGGGCCTTAAATAGAAAGCAGCATTCGCCCCCTCAGATCCTTTGTAAGGAGAGGCAGTGGGTGACGGAATGCAGAATTGAAGAAGCAGCGGTATCCCGTTGGCATGTGGTACTAACAGTATCACATAGGCATTCACTGAAAATCAGGAAGCCTAAGTTGCAGTCCTGGCTCTGCCACTGACCCACTGAGTGGCTTTGGGCGTGTTCCTTCTCCCCATACCTTGGTTTCCCAGCCTGAACCCTGAGGCTCCCCATAGCTCTGACATCCCGCGACTTCCATAATGTTCAGAGGAGGCCTGCTGCAGGAGCTGAAATGTGGGCAGAGCCAGGAAGAATGAGCAGAGGGGACACTGGGAAAGGAGCCCGAGGAGGTGTGAGGGCTCAGAGAGGGGAAGGTGGGGCCTCAACACTTGGCAGGAAGCTGGGCTTGAGGCAGTGAGCTGTAAGGTGCCACCGTGGATCCTTGGGCATGGTGTCGGCATAACTAAGGCACTGCCTTGGAAGGAGTGTTTTAGACATAAGAAGGATGGAGAGAGAGAGAGATCGATTTTGTATTGAGATTGGACTGTCTTGCCCCCGGTATGCTTCCTTTCTTATACACGCTACTAGGCTGGGATTCTAGAGCTATGATTCTTAACCTGTTTTGAGTCTTGGGTGCTCTGAGAAGCTGAGGAATGCCTGGACCATCCATCACATAAAAGTCAGGAGTTCTTGTCTCTGTGTGGCTCCTTGTTTAAGACTCTCCGAGCCAAAGAAGCAGTACTGTACATAGAGTGAGACCCCTTTCCTGGGCTTGCTGCACTCATGTGTCAGTTCGCCCTCATGAGACCCCTGTGACGTAGCAGGGAGGGGAGGGGTGTGTGTACATTTAGTAGATGAGGATTCTGAGGCTCAGCGGTCGAGTGATTTATCTGCAGGCATTCAGCAAGGCCCAGAGTGTGGGAGGAAAGTGGCTCCACTCCAAGCCAGCCAGTGGCCTGGGAGACCTGGGTCCTGCCCTGTGAGTCAGCCCCAGACGGAACCTGTGTAACCAGAGAATTTCCCTAGGCTGAGCTGGGATCGGATGGGGAAACTGAGTCATGAGGAATGGGGAAGCAGAGGGAAAACAGCTGGTGGCGCCTACGCAGACCATGGTGAAGAGTGGTCCCTGTCCCCTTCCCCCTGCCAGGAGCTGGGCCCTCTGCCCCACGAGGACAGCAACCTGATGCTGCACCTGCAGCGCCTGGAGACCACCCTGAGTGTGTGCGCCGAGGAGCCGGACCACAGCCAGCTCTTCACCCACCTGGGCCGCATGGCCCTCGAGTTCAACCGCCTGGCCTCCAAGGTGCACAAGAATGAGCAGCGCACCTCTATCTTGCAGGTGAGGCCAGCCCGGGAGGGTCACCTGGGATGGGCAGGTGTGCCTCCCCCTCCCCCTCTTCTAGATCTCTTAAGGATCCAGGGTACCCTGGGGACTTCCAAGGGCGATACTGTGGGTTGACTGTAGGCTTCTTGTTTTGGGGTGGTGAGTAGGGTAGGGAAGTTGTGGGAAGGGACGGGTAAGAGGAGCGAAATTGGGAAATCCGGGGTGGGCAATGCAGTTTTCGTGGTTGGGGTGCCCTAGGCCATGGATGTGGGCAGGATCCTGCCTGCCTTGTTCTTCAAAGGCAGGCGGGGAAAGGGAGGGAATAAAAGCAGGTAGGCATCTTTATCTCCATTTCACAGATGGGGACACAGCCTTCGAGAGGTGGGTTTTTTTTTGGCCTAAGATATAGATGGTGCAGCTGGCATTTGATAATCCAAAGGCCATGCTCCTAACCCCCATCGTAGTCTGCCTCCCCGATTGAGGTGACTCCCTTCCATAACCCTTCCTGTGCCATGAGAACGAAGTCAGAGTTCTTCCTTATGCAAGCCCAGGCCTTGGAGTCATATGGTCCTTAGTTCCAGTAGTGGCTCTTTATTGCTATATGACCTTGGAGAAGTCACTTACCCTCTGTATCCCTCACTACTCCTATCTGTAGCATGGCGTTAGGAATGTCTGCCTCATGGGATTGCTGCAGGTCTTAAGTCAAGTACCTAGTACAGACTGGAGCATAGTAAATGCTCACAAAGTGGCCACTGTTCAGGTTTGATGATGACCGATCATCTGTCCTAGGCAGGGGATCTTAGCCTTGCGGGTTTGGGTAGAGGGAAAGATTCACAGATGGTAAAACTGAGGCTTCGAGAGGACCTGCTCAGGACCTGAGCACCTGCTCTCTTAGTGACAAAGCTATAACTTGAATTCTCCTCCTTCTCTCCTAGACCCTCTCATGCCGGTCACTGGTCTGTGGTCTCATTTATGTTAGCAGATGTTCAAGTGCCCAGTTAATGGGGGGCATGTCCACTGTGTGTGACCTTAAGAAGGGCCTAGGTTGACAAGAGCAAAGGAGACACGGTGTGGGGGAGCTGCGGGGAGCAGCGTATCCCAGGGAGAGTGCAGGACCCCCATCCCATCTCGAGTCAGGGCCAGGCTGAGGGGTGAGGCTGGAGGAGTGATCGGAGCCTAAGGGCCAGGCTGGGGGAGATGACTTTCAGCGACTTTCAGATGTCAGTGAGGCTTAGAGGTGGCAACGCTGAGCTCTGAGGAGGTGAACTTGGCGATCACATGGGGTGAGATCACGTTCAGTGTCAGCTTTTTGACTCTGAAACCAGGACTGATTCTGGGCCTTATAAAAGGGGCTCCTGCCAGCCTCTGTTATACTAGGCCCCTATTTGTTTCCTTCTTAGCTCTTACCATAGTTTATAATAATTTTATTAGGCGGTTTATTTACTTTGTGTTTTTACTCTTGCACTTGCTGCTAGAATGTAAGCCTCATAAAAGGGGCAGGTACTTTGTCATATTCACCACTATGTCCCAGTGGCTGGCACTTGATAGATGCTTAATGCACATTTGATGAATGAATGAACTAATGAACTCACAGGTGAGCTTTTAGCCCATGACGGAATGTGATCACCTTTGTGACAACCTTTCTTCATCAGCTGCTTTGTGCCCAGGACATTTTCCCAGAAACTTAGAGGAAACAGCCCTCCAGCCTGGAAGGGCGGACAGCCCACCAGGCCACGTCCTTGCTTTCCCTTAATGACCAGGAGCAGGACGTTCTCTTCCCTGGAGGCCCCGCCCAGGGCTGTGGCATCCTGGTATTTGCCCAGCCTGTGGGTAGAGGCAGATGAATCCGGTTTCTCCTCATTCATTGATTTGTTTCTTGGTTCACTCAACAAACATTTTCAAGGCCAGATATGGTGCAAGGCCTTCGCTAGGCATTGGAACCAGTCACAGTAGCTTTTGGTTCTCTCTGCCTCAGATCCCTCATGTCTGACCACCCTCCAGGTCCAGGCTGTCTCCTCCATTAAGACTTCCCAAGTCTCTCCTACGTTAGTCAGAAAGGGCTAGATTTTGCTGTGGAAATAAACAACTCCAAAGTCTCCCAAGGTAACATAAAAGTTTTCCCTCATTCTATGGCAGGGACTTTTTTCTGCTCCACAGTTACTTAGAGGTCCCACCAGCTCATGCCTTTTGGAACATGAGACAGCCACAGCCACAAGGGAAAAGAGACCAGACAGTCATGCATGGGCCAGCCCAGAAGGGACACTTGTCTCTTCCACTCATCTTTCATTGGCCAGAACTAGTCACATGAGTGCAGTGAGCCTGGGATGTGGAAATGGAAGGCAGCAGGTGGAATGTCTGGTGAATACCACTGTCCCTGCTTCCAGCCCAGCTCACAACCCCTGCCTCCCTTCTCTGCTCTTTCATCACGGGGGAGAGACCCACCAGGGTAGGGTCTGCCAGGTAGAACTTAATCCCTGCGGTGGTTCTTAACAGCTGTGCAACCTCATGCAAATTACTTCACCTGCATTAGCCTACTTTTAAAATAGAGATGAATTACGTAGCTTTAGGAACGCTGTGAGGCTCCGAAGAGGCAGTGGGGGGAAGAGCACCCAACCAGGTACCTGGTGCATGTTGTTTGTTGAAAGATTGAGTATTGAGACAGCGCTTCACCATTACTAGTCAGCACCTCCCTCCGCTCCCCACCTGTGAGGCCCCAAGTCTGTTTGTCTATCTTCTGTGCTCTCACCTTGCATTAGCCTACTTTGAAAATAAAGTCCTCAGATAGCATCCAGTGACTGGCAGTTCACGAGGCACTTGCGCTCTCATGGTCTCGTCAGCTCTTCACTTGGTCATTCATTCATGTGGCCGTTCAGTCATTCAGACATTCCTTCTATAGAGTTAAGTGTCGACCTGCACTATGTCCTGAGCTGGGGCTGGAGACCTGGTAGTGGACAAGAGAGTGGCGAGGGGGTCCCAGCCCACTGAGAGTGCGAGGGGATGGAGTTGGACATTATGAAAATAAGGACACAAACGGTTCTTTAGCTTTAATGGTCATAGGTACCAGAAAGGGCGAGGGAAGGGAGCCGTGAGGATAATGGAGGTGACCTATCTCACCTGAAATGTGGGAGTCAGGGAGGACTTCTCTGAGGAGGTGATGTTTAAGCTAAGACTTGAAGCAGAAGTAGAAGTCAGCCAGGCGAAGGCCAGTGGGGAATAGCGTTCTAGAGTGTCCTAGGCTGTGTGAACATCAGTGAAGGAGGAGAGTGGAACTCAGCCTCGGAGAACCAGAGGGCCTCGTGGTGGATCCTTGGTCTGCCATGAGGCATCCTCATGGCCAGCTCCTGAGGGAGAGGATGCATGGAGCGGCCTGGATGGGCCTAGCAGCATGGCTGGAGCCCCTGCCCTGTCCGCTAACGTCATCATTGGGAATGCACCCCCTCCCAGCCCTCATCTACCTCTCTGCCCTGCAGACCCTGTGTGAGCAGCTTCGGAAGGAGAATGAGGCCCTGAAGGCCAAGCTGGACAAGGGTCTGGAACAGCGGGATCAGGCTGCCGAGAGGCTGCGGTAAGCCCATGCCCCGTGGAGGAGGGGTGAGGAGTCGGATGGGCAGGAGGAGGGGGTGCAAGGCACTGATTTCCGGGATGAAGGCTCTGAGGCCTGTGCCCAGAGCCGTGCTTTGGATGTCAGATCTCGTGACCTTTCTCCTTGGGAACCTTGAGGAGCGTCTGTTTATAAAGTGCTTTGAGAACTTCAGAAGAAGGGCTGTACAAATTGCAGTTTTTCCTCGAGAACTTGCCCCTAAGCTTAGCCTGTTAACAGCCCCTGGCTGGCTGTTGGAGATGAGGCTCGGGACTTTGCTGCCCCCTGCTGGTCACCATCCGGTCCTGCTCTGTTTTCCTGAGAACAGTCAGGGCTCTCTCATCTGGACTACAGGGTCTCAGACTTAATTGTGCATCAGGATCCCAGAGGGTCAGGCAAGGTACACAAGTTTACACTCTCACCCCTCCCTCCTCTGCCAAGACTCTTGATTCCATGGGTCTGAGGCGAGACCTAGGCATCTTTATTTTCCAAAGGGCTTCTGTGGTTAGGATGTAGGTGGGCCCAGGATCACGCTTGAGAAACACTGATCTTGATTGTCAGAGCTGGAAAGGCCCTTTGAGATCATGAGGGCCACACCTCTCGTTGTGTAGAGGGAGACTGAGGCCCAGAGAGAGGCATGTGAGGCCCGACAGAGTAATGTGTAACTGTTGAGCCACTGTGTCATTTTGAATCGGCATATATTTATTTGCTTCTGCATGTATTTATTTACTTCCAAGCAGTTGGAGTTTTATAGCCACAGTGACTCCATCCACAGATCCAAAAACCCAGGTCGGAGAAAAGATTCATGACTAGAAGGCAAGATTTAAGCCTCGGTGTTTGACCTTAGGAAAGCCACTTCTTGTTTTTTTTGTTTTGTTTTGTTTTGTTTTTTTATTGTTACATGGAAACCCAGCTGGCAAATAGAACATAAAGAAATATTTTCATATTTCAGTCTGAATCCACTTTTATTATGTCCTATATCACCTACCTTCTTTTTACCTAAGAATTTAATTTGAATCATGTTTTTATTTAAAATTATAAAGAAAATTTTCACTAGAGTAAATGGAAGATAGCATTACCTGTAAGAAATAGAAGATAACTCCAACAATAAATTCAGCGAAAATGGAAGGATGTTTATAAATTCTGGTGAAGTACTATTGCTGATTGAAGGCTCAGAGCCTGAAGCCTGCTCTTTCTCTGTTAACAGGAGAGACTAGCAAGTATTAGAACGGTGATCAAGACCTGTTAGTGCCAAACTGAGGCTTTTCCTGTGCTGTACACAAGAAGTATGAAGATAATTGTAAAGAGTGTGCCTTTCTCACTAGAGTGATTCAGGGTTATTTAATGCAGATTTGGTTGTGTCCTGAAGATCTCATGTGTACAGACATCCCACAGCTGGGAACACCCTGTTGTTGGTCATCTGAGACTTCTAGAGAAACCCACAGATTGCCACACAGTGGCTTAAGGATGCCTTTTTTTGGTTAGACCTGAGGGGAGGTGTCAGGGTCTTGCCTTAGTCCCTAGGACTCAGCTGCAACTCAGATGAGTAGTATGTCCAAGGCCGCCGGCCTCCTTAACCCCGGGCCAGCAACCTGACCTCTGTTTGCCTCTGACCTAGGGAGGAAAACATGGAGCTCAAGAAATTGTTGATGAGCAGCGGCAAAGAGGGTGCCTCTGGGCGACCAGGCTCACCAAAGATGGAAGGCGCAGGCAAGAAGGGGCTGTCCAGACAGCCGCAGGTACGTGGTCCGAAGCTCCTTCCACAGCATCCCCCATTGCTGATGCACTGCCGGCTCCGGCGGCAATGAGCTTACTACCTCTTGCTGCAGCTGGTTCCACTGACAGAAGGTTCTAGTCGTTAAATGGCTTTTTCTTAGCTTGGCCTGACACTCTGCCTCCCTGGAGCTTTCATTGCTTAACCCTCATTCTGCCTCCTGCCACATGGAGAGCATCTCATTCCCTGTGACACACACGCAGGCTGATGGCCATGACTGTGGCTCCACGGCCCTCGTAAGCCTTCTGTTCTCCAGGCTGAATAGCTCCAGCTCCTCTGGTCATTGCTCATGGAAGGTGGTGCCAAGTCCTTTGCTTACTTTGGCTACATTCCCTAAACACATCCCAGTTTATCAAGGTTTTGCCTATGGTGTGGCTCCAAAAGTCACTTCAAGGTCTCAGATATTCTTTGTGGAATTAGGGTGTTAGCCCCGTTAAAGGTTCTCTGAGGACTCTGCTAAGCTGCTGTGATTGCACCCTGGCGCCTCTGACATGGAGAGAGGAAGGCATGGCCTGGTTATGCCCCAGGGCTAGCCCACTTTCTCCCTTCCCACCGCTACTCCCAGCCCTGGCTCGTATCCAGTCCCCAAGCGGGAGCTGCCTCTCCTCCTTGCCCCATCTGTGCCTTTCTCCTGGCCACAGCACTGAGTCCCAACTTTTTACTGACACATTTTTTTTAATGGGGTTTAATGGCTGCACAGAAGGACTCAACATCTTTAACAAACCCCACACCTATGTAATAGTAGTAATTATCCTAATAAGTTAATTAAGTATTACTGTAGAGTTTACCCAAGACACAAATCCATTGTTTAATTTGGACCTCCTCTCTAAGGTAGGCAGGGCCAAGACTATTACTCCACAACCCAGCTATGGCAGGAGGCTTGGAGAGGTCATGTGACATCACGTAATCAAGATTCCTGCTATCAGGCAGGGACTCGTGCTGAGGAGTGGCCTCTGAGTCCCAGGCCACCTAGCCCCATCTCTGCTTCCTTTTACCCATCACATTGGAGCCTGCCTTGTCTGCCCTCTTGTGGAAGTGACTTGTGGACTCCCCTGATCTCTCCTGCGTTCTCGGAACTCTGTAGGCAGGCCTCTTCACTTTTCCAAAGCTCTTTAATATCAACTCATCTCTCTCAACTCCCGGGATAGCCAGATGTTCTTACTACCCTGCCAGGGGGGACGGCCACGTAGGCTGCGGGACGGGGCAGCGGCGAAGCCTGTGCCCCGGCATTGCATGCGGGCTGAATGCTGACTGCAGCTCTTGCCAGCGCTACTACCTTGGACAGTTATATATATTCTCTGGCCTCAGTTTCCTCCTCTGTAGAATGGAGATATTGACACTTAACCTCGGTGGGTGGTTGGAGGATTCAGCGATGTGATACCCATAAAGTGGGTTTAGTACCTGGCATGTGGCAAACAGTGAACATTAGCTGTTGCTTTTAATGGCAGATTTGGTGTCCGCAGCCGGGCTGGCTGGCTCCTCTGTTCTTTGTGGAGGTTAAGGGTGTACCTTCCGGGAGCCTGGCACTCCCTCTTCCTCCTTCCCCAGTACTGCTGGGCACAGCTCGCCTCCAGGAGGCAGCAGGCCTCTAGAGACAGGCCCATCTCGCGCCTTCCTCAGAGGAGGTGATGGAGGTGAGGGCTCCCTTAGTTCGCGCTCCTTACTCCTTGGGTGTGCTTACCGACCTCAACCTGCAGACAGTGCTTGAGCCCCACAAGTTCTACCCTCAGGGCTCACCCAGAGACTTAAGGTCTTACTTTATAACCATGGTTCAGTGATCAAAACTAGGAAATGAACATTGTGACAATACTGTTAACTAAACTGTGGACTGTGTTCAGATTTCATCAGTTTTTCACTCGCGTTCTTCCGTACCAGGATCGATTCCAGACCCTACATTACATTTCGCTGTCACCTCTCTTTAGTCTTCAGTCTGTGGCAGTTCCCAGTTGTTCCTTCTCTTTCATGAACTTGAAACTTTTAGGTTCTACTGGCCAGTTATTTTGTAGCTTGTCCCTCAGTTTGGTTTTATCTAATGTTTTCTCATGATTGGATCGAGCTTATGGATTTGGGCAAGAACACCACACGACTGACACAGTGTCTCGGTGCATCATGTCAAGGGGACATGATGTCACCGTGTCTTATTACTGTCAGCCTTGATCATGTGGCTAACGGGGTGTCTGTCAGGTTTCTCCATATAAAGTGACAAATTTTCTCTTTGAAATGCATAAGTTTCTATTTTGGATGAGAAACTTTGAGACCGTGCAAAGTCTTGTTTCTCCTTACACTTTTGCTCACTAATCGCAGTGTCTATTGGTGGATCTCACAGCGCTTTTGTGTTTCCCTCATTTATTCTACAGTCACTAATTGGAATTCTTCTGTAAGATAGAATTGTCCCTTCTCCCCTATTTAGTTAATTATTTAGCTATTTCTTTCTACCAGTAGATGGAAATTTATTCTTTGGGTTATAATCCAGTACTATCACAATTTGTTTTCTAGTTCAAATTGTTCCAGTTTGGCCATAGGACGCTCTTTTAAGTTTTCTCCTATGCCCGTTTGACATGCCTTTATTGTTGAGTACTTCCTTACTTTCTAGCACCATAAGATGCTCCAAACTCATATGTTCCCTGCCCCAGCCCTGGAATTAACCACTTCTCTAAGGAGCACTGTTCTCTTTTTGTGGAGAATGGCATTTAGAAACCAAGATCTGGGCGCTGGGTGTGCTCATTGCTCCTGGGGTGTCACTGCTTTAGGCCCTCTCAGAGGCTAGAGCTAGGAAATATGTGTACATGTACTAATTGCACATGCACACACACGTCTTTATTTAGTTTTTTATATTTCTAAAAACTTTTTAAGATAGGCATTTTATAAAATCTTAAGGAATATATTACTCTTACCTTCCAGGCCAGAGGATGTTTGGCTGGTGTGTGTGTGTGTGTGTGTGTGTGTGAGCGCGCGCGCGCGCGCGTGTATGCATGTGTTGGTGGGGGGGTGAGGGGGAAGCAGTTGGCAGTACCCTAGAGATAGAGCCTAAGCAGGGAAAGAAGTGGCCGCAGGGAGGGGGCGGAGGGGAGGGGAGGAGAACCTAGGAGCCAGTGTGGGTCAGGGAGGGAGAATAATGGTCTCAATGGACTTCCCAAAGGGGGCTTAGTCATGACATGAGACGTGTAGCAGTGTTCCGATGGGTATGAGAATAGAGAGGTGAGAGACAGAGGGCTGAGTGAGGGGCCTTAGAGGAGCTCTGAGTGGGGAGGAAATGATCATTTGAGGCTCTGCTGAAGGCCCTTTTGTGTTTCTCCCCAGGCTAGTGTGACAGCAGGTAAGATGCCAGAGGCGGGAGCCTTGGGTGCAGCTGAGAAGAAGGTGAAGATGCTGGAGCAGCAGCGCACTGAGGTAGGTGGCCGGCGAGGGTGATGGTCAGGGAAGACCTGTCTTCCATCCTGGGACCGACAGGACAAAGGCCTTCCTTGGCGCTCTGGCTAGTCCCTGGTCACCATGGTGAGTTGCCATGGTGACCACTGAACTGTCTACCCATGGGAAAGACCTGCTGCCTTGTCCTGGGCTCTTGTCTCTTGACCATTTTCCCTTCCCAAAGGGGTCACTCTGAGGAGGTGGCATTTGAGGCATGGCCTAAAATTGTTGAGAGGTAGCTTAGGAACACTTCCCTGGTAAACCCTGGGTGGTGGAAAGAGGCTATGCTAAGACAGACAAGTTTTGGCGTCAGGAATAGAGAGCCTGGGGTTCTTCCGTCAGCTGGTTTAGGAAGGGAATGTACTCCATTTTCCCTTCCCAAAGGGGTCACTCTGAGGAGGTGGCATTTGAGGCATGGCCTAAAATTGTTGAGAGGTAGCTTAGGAACACTTCCCTGGTAAACCCTGGGTGATGGAAAGAGGCTATGCTAAGACAGGCAAGTTTTGGCGTCAGGAATAGAGAGCCTGGGGTTCTTCCGTCAGCTGGTTTAGGAAGGGAATGTCATACCAGGAGAGGATCCCACACCTTGTGGCACTGCTTCTAACCAGCCGAGAGCCTCCAGAAGTTGAGGTTACTCCCTCGTGTCTCATGCTTGTTCCTCCTCCATCTCCCACCCCTGGGCCAGTATTTCCCGACTGGAAGTGGAACCCAGTCCTCTGCGTTCTCTTCGCCTCTCCTCTCCACATAGCTCAGCGCCTTCTCCACATCCCTGGGCCTTCTGCCCCTGGTCCTCCAGCACATCTGGAAGTCAGGCTCCATTAGTCTTTTGTTCAACGTGCATATTACTTTTAGTTTTCTTTTTGTTTGTGCCATAAGGTAATTTTTCTGATTGCAAAAGTAACATAACACTCATTATATAAAGATTGAGAATGTCGCCTCCTGGAGATTACTACAGTTGATAACAATTCATTGCATATTCCTTGTTTTTTTCCTATGTACTTACTAATGTATAATCAGTTTTAAAAATTATATATGCTGTATTGCAAATTACTTCTTTCTTTAAAATTATCTTTGAGGACATTGGTTAGTATATATAAATATACTATATTAGGTTAATTTTGAGTACTTTCCATCCTGTGTTTATGAAATTGGGATACCCTTTCCCATTATTTTATTTATTTAATGATATAGGGTTGTTTTTCTTCCCTGAGGAGTTGTTATATTGAGTATGGCAAATAATTTGTGTCATTTAGAACTGAGGCAATGTATTAAATGCCTGATTTTCTGCATAGCTTCAGAGTGCTCCATTTTCTGTTCATACTCTAATTTCCTTAACCCATCTATGATTAGGTTGGCCTCTAGATTTTTTTTCTGATACAAACATTGTCGAGATAGTCAATGATACACATATGTTTTAACACACTTGTGCAAGTGTTTCTTTTGGTTCCCTTTTTCACAGTGGAATTATTGGAGTAAAGAGAATGAGAACTTGGAGTTTTAATACATAGTCCCAAACTGCTATCTAAAAAGGTGTCTGATCTATCATCATACACCAAACTCATATACCGTTTCTGTGTCTTGATGTTAGTCTCGCTGCCCTGGCAAGGATAAAACGTGGCAGTCCCTCAAGGTGAATCTCTGAGGAACGTTGTTCTTGAGAAGCAAGGGATCGAGGCAGTGTCTGTAGGCACCCTTTGTTCACACACACTGCGTGTTCCTTGGGAAGCCGGTGTGTGTGGAGTGGCTGTCTTTGGTCCTCCTCTGCTTGTCTCCTGCTAACCCCAATTTCTCTGCACAGCTGCTCGAAGTGAACAAGCAATGGGACCAGCATTTCCGGTTGATGAAGCAGCAGTACGAGCAGAAGGTAGCGTGGGAGATGCGGGAAGTCAAGGCTGAACTCAGGTTCTCGGCTGTGCTCTCAGCACATCCCCAGTGCCCTGCTTGCTGCTTCCTTCTCAGCAGCTTTGAGCCTTGGACATTCACCCTCACGTACTCTTCTCTCTGCCGTGAACCCAGATCACTGAGCTGCGCCAGAAGCTGGCGGATCTGCAGAAGCAGGTGACTGACCTGGAGGCTGAGCGGGAACAGAAGCAGCGTGACTTTGACCGCAAGCTCCTCCTGGCCAAGTCCAAGATTGAAATGGAGGAGGCAAGTGTGACTGCTGAGCCCTGCAGGTTCAGCTCCCGAAGGCCTGTTCCCCAGTCCCCCTTAACCAAGAGCTCAGTGGAGTAAATAAGCCAGGGAGTGGGAGTCAGGAGACCTGGGGTGTCCAGCTCTGGCTCTGGTGCTAACAGGCTGTGTGGCAGTAGGCGAAAGCACTTTCCTTTCCCATGCCTCGGTTTTCCATCTAAAAAGGTTAAATTAGGTGTTGCTTTTCATATTTTCTTGTTTTTATACAGAAGAACCTTTGTTCAATTAAAATCTTATAATCTAGGGAAGCCGAGAATATAAAAGAGATTCAAGCAGGCCTGCTCTAGTGCACTTGATGGGAGTGGGTTGCTGCTGAATGTTTAGAATTATGGCTATTTGTGGGGGAGGGGCTAAACCATTAGACAAAGCTTCTTTGTCCATGTGGTCATTGTTCAACAGAGCATGCACTTGGCACTCTGCTGGGCACAGAGACTCAGGGGTGAATAGTCCAATCCCAACCTTGAGGGGGAAGAGACACTAAACTGCTAGTTATAGAAGCAAGTAAGTGTGTGTTAAGTACTACACAGGAGAAGTTACAAGGATTGAGAGGGCAGAAAGGGGGACCAGATCCAGTCTTGGGGGGCCAGGAATATGTACACTAAAGAAATAGCATCTGATCTGTCATGTGTGTGACTGACACCAAGCCAAGGCCCTTCAGGATCCTGTTACAGCTTCAAGAGGAAAGGCCATTTGACTCCCATACTTGTAGGGGGTTTTGTTTATGTTGCAATGTGTTCCCTTTCACGGGAACTGGGCCCGGGCTGCTTTTGCCTTGCTTCAAAATGGACATTATCAGCACAGATTGCATTTCAGAGTTCATTCTCATCGGCATCTTATCTGAGTGGTCAGCTTGCCTCAGTGACCCCCCTTACCTTAAAGACGAGTGGTAGAGAGGACACTACCTATCTTTTCTCTTGAGTGCAGTCACATCTCGTGACTGTCAGCCAGACCTCTGGCTCTTTGGTCCCTTCCCCTGGCTCACACCAGTAGATGGGCAAGGCCCTAAATCTGACAGCACCTCCCTTTCAGCTGGGGAAGGTGGGATGTTTCAAGACAAAGCATGGCCCTGTAGATAAGGACACATGGTGATAGAGGCCGTGCTAATCCTGAGCCTCTGTCATGGGAGCCCAGAGTAGTTTACCTCCCCCATTTTAGATACTTCCTTTGACTTACAAAGGGAGAGAGAACACCAGAATTAGGAGACCTGGGCTTTAGCCCCAGCTAACTGTGTGGCCTGGGATAAGTCACCTCCTCTTTCTGCACATTCATTTCCTGTCATATAAAGGGGTTAGGACGTGGCTCTCTCTAAAGGCCAATCCATCTGTGGCCCTCTGCAAGGAAGACGCCCTGACTGTTCCATAGTGGCTGTTGGAACAGGCTCCCACCTGGAAGCCTTCGGCTCCAGTACTCTTTCTTTTAACCTCACAGTACTGTTTCTCTGTGAGGGAACACTTTTCTGCCTCATGATATGTATTTTTTGAATGTCTTCTCTCCTCTAGGCTCAGAGACTATAAGAACAGAAAGGTCCTTTAGAGATTCTTGGTGGTTTATCACTTTCTGTGTGTCAGGGAAGATTTCCATGGAAACTATGGCTTTTCTCTCTAGAAAGTTGCACAGACAAAATTTCGCATTTAGTTTTGGGGCTCACAGACCTGACAACCATCTGTGACTCAGGCTAAGAACCCCTTACCCATTGCAGATAGGTAAGCTTAGACCCGAGAGAGCGTGACGGTGCCCCAGGTCTCAGCTCCCTGGTGGAGGAGCTGGTGTCAGAACCCAGGGCCTTTTGCTCAACCAAAAGAGCCTCTTTGAGGACAGAGCATTAGCACTTTGACCCCAGATGCCTTGCACAGTGCATTGTGTGTGAGCATTGTGGGCGCTGCGGAGGGAGATCGGGAGAGGGGAGGCATGCCTGAGGGAGGGGTGGGGCGGGCAGCACAGGGAGTCCAAGCCTCCTGCACACGCTTCCTGCTTACCAACCCTGCGCTCCCTATAGACGGACAAGGAGCGGCTGGCAGAAGAGACCAAGGAGCTGCGCCAGAAAGTCAAGTACCTGCAGGATCAGCTGAGCCCGCTGACCCGGCAGCGAGATTACCAGGAAAAGGAGATCCAGCGGCTCAACAAGGTGGGTGCCTTTGGCCCTGGTCCCTGGGCAGACAGAACTTCCCTGAGCCCACCTGAAGTGACCACTCTATCGCCAGTGGCCCGACCCTCAACTCAGGAGGGCGACTCCTGGGTCAGGGCACTGGTGCTGGGGGCCTCTGTGCAGCCTCACCGTTCCCCCACCTCTGCCTTTCCCTCCCCGCACGCAGAGTGGCCAGCCCTGGGATGAGCCTGTGCCCCCACCCCAAGCCCTTGGATATGCTGTTTCCTCTCACAGTGCCACCTGCTTTGTTCAGGTTCAGCACGGCCTTCCCCAAGTCTCATTCAGGTCACCCTGTTCTATGAACCTAGAATACCGGCAACTTCTTTCACACCCCTTCCCACGCTGTCTTGTGATTACTGGCATAACATTCTGTCTTCTGCTGCAGCAGTGGGGGGCGTGCCTCTTCCCCAGGCTATGTACCCCCTGTGCCTGGCACAGCGCCTGGCACCAGGCATGTGTTCAGGAAATAGTCGCCGAAGGGAGTGGGTGGTGAGCACAGGCCCAAGGGCTCTCACCTGCCCTTGAGAAGTGGCATCCAGGGAGACAGGGCGTCCAGGGCGGAGGCTGGGTAAGACAGGAGCCCTCTCCTCTGAGCCAAGGCTGGTGGCAGTGGGCCGGGCCGAGTTCCGGGGACTGGTTCTAGTCCCAGCTTAGACGCGGGACCCTCTCTGGGCCTCTGTTGGCATCTGAGCCCTGGTCGCAGTCATTCCAGCCCATCTTCCAGGACAGGCTGGGAGAGCGTGAGGAGGGAGCTCTGAGAGGAAACGTTCTCCACAGGCCTGGAGGAGCTGTCGAGTCTGCGGCTCAGCTTTTCCCTTCCGATGGTTCTGGTGTTTAAAAAGCATCGATTATGCTGAGTTGGGGCCTTGGGACCTGTTCTTCCAGAAAAGAATGATTTGTCCCGAGCTGGGGAATTTGGAGTTGAAATCCAGGCAGAATGTCGTACATGGCGCTGGGTGGAGAGATGACCCAGGCAGGATCACTGCCCTCCAGGTTTCCTTGGCACAGGTGGGGGCAGAGGCACTGACATGGATGACTAATGCAGCGTGCTCCCTGTCCCTGGACCTCAGTCTCCTCAACCAAAAAATGGATCAGATAAAGTAGGAGGGTGAAGGGAGCCACAGCCTCCCCCATCCTAAATGGACTCTTGGCGCAGCAGTTTCCTTGAGTTTGTGGGGGAGTTGAAGAGACCAAGTGGGGGCACAAGTCCAAGCTGGGGAAGGTTTCTTTTATCTCCCCATGGTTCTGGAAGGTGCTGCAGGCAGTGCCAACGCATGGTGAGCAGAGGCCCTGCTGTCCAGGGGGCCAAAGCCCAGGTGACGACAAGGGTGGCCAGTCTTGAGAGGTGGTCCAACGTTCTCCAATGTTAAGAGGGCTGACGGAGAAAACCGTTTAGCCTTTCTAGATGATGCGAGCACACTGTTTACATAAAGAAAAGTATGTGTGAGCATGTTATAATAGAGTGTTTTTCTTTTTTTCTTTTCGAATGTTATTTGGTGATGTTTCAGTCCGTTCTCAGGGTTAGAAAGGTAAAGTATTAAGTAAGTCAAAATTAAAATCCAGTCTAATCTAATTTCAGAAGAGGCGAGGGTGGAAGGGTTGGCTTGGTAGGAATGGGCTGTGGAAGCTGCAGAATCTCAGGGCCAGGCAGAATGAGATTCCTTCCCCCAAAGGACTTGATATTCCTTCCAGGTCGGGGTGCTGGAATTGAGCCACACCTGCTCAGGGAAGGGGAGATTCTCCCTTCTACATGAACACCCTAGTTTAGGCTGCTGGTTAAGAGCACACGCTAGGTTTGAATCCCCACTTCGCTACTTACTACCTGTGTGACGTTGGACAAATCACGTTAGGTCCCTGAACCTCAGTTTTCACTTGTGTAAAATGGGGATGATGATCATAGTGTTTTTTTCCTAGGACTGTGGAGAGGATTCAATGAAATAATGTGTGTACGGTGTCAGTAAATAGGGTTGCATGTATTAAATAATATTGGTGGTGGTGGTTGTCATTATCGTTATTATCAGGAAGGGGGTCCCTGAGGATGACCCCTCGAGGGGGGCCTGACTTCCAGGGCTTCTCCTGATGGGCCCATCACCTCTCTTCTCACCTCTGATCCTAGGCCCTGGAGGAAGCACTGAGCATCCAGGCCTCGCCATCATCTCCACCAGCAGCCTTTGGGAACCCAGAAGGAGCTGGGGGCCTCCTAAGGAAACAGGAGCTGGTCACGCAGAACGAATTGCTGAAGCAGCAGGTGAGCCCAAGGGGAAGAGGTACTCAGTGGGAGCTGGAGCATTCCCATTCCCTAGGGCCAGCGATGGGCTGGGAATCGTGGGGGAAGCTGTAATTAGTAGTTCATTTTCTGGCCATTGGCCAGAACCCCTGTCTGGTTATAAGATTATTCTTTCCAGCAATGTGTCCCTAACTAGGTCATTATTCTGCCACTTAGATGATTTAGCCATCTCTACACCCCAACTGTGCTATTATTTACCTATATTTTAAAAATAAGTTTTAAGTAAATTACTTTCAATAGATCTAATTAAAAGGGAGCTTTATATCACTATTATAAATGGAAAAACCTGTTTATTATTTGCCGTAAATAGAAAGTAACTGTAAGCAAGAAATACAGTAAAAGCAAAAGAGCATTGTTAAACTTGAGCTGAATACTGTCATGTGACTCTGAACCTGAATTTCCCTTCATTTAGGGAAATTGATGCATACAAGAAAGGCATTAAAGACATACTAGCGTAAAACGGAGACTTCCTCTGTGAGGGACACAGAAGGTTTGAAAGGAGATTGAAAAGGTCACGGCTCTCCCATGTGCTTCTATATGATGCCATGCTATAGATCTGTCATCTCAAACCAGTCAGCGCCCCACTGACCTAGAGTAAGGATGTGAAAGTGCAAGGGCTCATCCCTGCCAGGCACCCCCAGAGCCTTGGGAGAGTTTCATAGGCCCTCAGCTCTCAGAGCCAGTCTTCTACCCACGCTCTGGTCCCTTGGCCTCTGCCTCTGGGGCTGTAGCAGAATGAAAGGATTGCACTGGCTGGTGGCTGTCGACCGTTTTTATGAAAAAAAGCCAAGGCCCCCTTGTTTAAGTAAAGCCCTATGTCGAAGCCTAGAATATAACATAAAGGGACCCAGAGCTACTGTCTTTGAAGTTGGAGGTGGGGCTGGAGGTGTACCCCCGTTCCCTTCCCCACAGGGGATGTTGAGACGGGGTGACACCAGCTCTGACATCTGTGACTCCCAGCAGCAGGCCCTGGATTCTGGGTTTGAGTAGATTTGAACCTCCACTCAGAACCGCCCGCCCTTCCTTATCCCATCCCCCGTCCCTGCCCTTCCAGGTAAAGATTTTTGAAGAGGACTTCCAGAGGGAGCGCAGTGATCGAGAGCGCATGAACGAGGAGAAAGAAGAGCTGAAGAAGCAGGTGGAGAAACTGCAGGCCCAGGTCACCCTTTCGAACGCCCAGGTGAGAAGGGCGGGACCGTGGAAGGGGCCATCGGCTTGTGCTCATGAGAAGGGGGCGCGGGTTGGAGGGTCCCAGTGAGACTGGATGTTAGGACACGCACTGGTTCTCCTTCCAGCTCTGCCGCCCCATTTCTGTGTATTTCAGCAAGACCGTTCCCCTCTCTGACCTCCAGCTCTGACTTTCCACAATCGGTTTTGATGCCTTTACAGAGCAAATTTACTAATTGATCCCAGGCCATCCCCTCTCTCACAGAATGCAGCTAGAAAATGATACTATGGCAGCACAGAAGCCAGGAGGCTCACAGTAACCCTTCTGACCTGTGTTCAAACCTCCCCAGATGAGCAGGCCTCACCTATAGCCACAGGTCTGGGCTATGCTCTGCCCCACAGAGCCCTTTCTCGTGTCTGGCCAGGCAGGAAAGCCCAGACTGGTAGCCCTGCACATCAGCCGGTCAGTCCTGGGGCTGCTTAGGCCCTGGGTCCAGAGTTGGCCAAGAAACAGCTGGACCAACAATCTTCTCTCCCTCCTTCTTTCCTCAGCTAAAAGCATTCAAAGATGAAGAAAAGGCAAAAGAAGTCCTCAAACAGCAGAAGAGGAAAGCAAAGGTGAGGGGGCTTGCGAGAGGAAGCAGCACTTACTTTGCCATCCGTTCCTTAGGAAGCCATCGCCTGATGGAAGAGGCAGTGTTTGTTCAACTTCCAGCTAACTAATAGATAATGCAGGTGGAGCACTTAGAACAGTACTTGGTGCAGAGTGCTCACGACGCATTAGCTGTCAGCATTGTTGCTATTCCGTGCCCATGTGCCAGCCTTCAGAGAACTAAAATTTTAAATAGAGAATGGGAGATGAGATGGGCATCACTGAGGATGACCTGTGCTGCCCGTCACAGAGCAGAGACAGACGTCAGCCTTTCTTACAGGCCTCGGCAGAGCGCTACCACATGGAGCCCCACCCAGAGCATCTCTTCGGAGCCTACCCCTATGCCTACCCGCCCATGCCACCCATGGTGCCACATCACGGCTTTGAGGACTGGTCCCAGATCCGCTACCCTCCGCCCCCCATGGCCATGGAGCACCCGCCCCCACTCCCCAACTCCCGCCTCTTCCATCTGGTGAGTCTGTGACCTTCCTTCAGTCCAGGACATATACACAGGCCACCTCAGACACTTTCCAGAGGGTAAGGTCAAGTGAGAGGGTCAGAGTCTGCATCCTTGGCTCCTTCATGAACAGCACTGTGTGTGGGCAGATGTTCGGGGCTCGGCTCTGGCCTGCTGTCCCAGGAGCAGGACTCCGCAGCCCAGAGCTCTTCAGAGTCACTGAGGTGGGACAGAATAGGCCGAGTAAGAGAGCAGGGCTGCAGGGAGGGCTCCGTCCAGCCAGCAAGGCCAGGGATATCAGAGTGTGGGTCTGACATTTTCTCGTAGCTCCCACATGTAACCAGGTACGCCACAGATCCTCACAGGCATTCTCTCTCTCTCTCTCTCTCTCTCTCTCTCTCCTTTTCCTCTTCCTTTTCTTTTTTGTTTCCTTTCCTTTTTGGTTTTTTTGTTTTCTTTTCTTTTCCTTGCTTCCTTCTTTCTCCAAAGAGCTGCTGTCACCTGTTCCATCCTCTCAGCCCCTCTGCCACAGCCCCCTCAGGTAACCCCACTCACCTGGACAATGACAGCAGCCTCCTATCTGGCCTCTCCAGCTTCTCTCCCTATGATCATTCTTTACACACACCTTCTTTAAACACTGGAGTGTAGTGTGGGGCTTAAAAGATTGATTCTGGGGTTATGGAGAGGTGGATTCTAATAGAAGTTTGGCCACCATCCTAGATGAATGACCTTCATAAAGTTACTTAACCCCTCTGAGCCTCAGTTCCCTTACCTGTAAAATGGAGATGGCAACCTGGGTCGTTGTCAGGATTCGATTACAGTTGGCCTTCGGTATCCACGGGTTCCACATCTGTGGATTCAATCAACCGTGGATTGAAAATATTGGGGAAAAACAAGTTTCGTTGTTGCTGATGTGTACTGAGCAGTTAGGCCTAAGTTGATTTCATCTGTGCTGAACATGTACAGACTTTTTTCTTGTCATTCACTAAACAAGACAGTATGACATCTTTTCACACAGCATTTACATTGTGTTAGGTATTATAAGTATTTTAGAGACGATTTTAAGTATACCAGAGGACATGTACATAGGCTATAAGCAAATGCTATACTGTTTCATGTAAGAGACTTGAACATCCATGAATTTTGGTATCCTTAGGGGGTCCTGGAACCAATTCTCCAAGGATACCAAGGGACAACTGTATATTCGATTAATGTGTATTTGGTACTGTTTTGGCACTGTAGCTGCTATTGTCATTTTCAAGTGTGGTTATTGATTATTAAGTACCACGTTTTGTTGCAGCCGGACTATAACTGGCGGCCACCCTGTTCAGGGATGCGCAATCAGACCTCCCAAGCGATGGACTCGCCCACGGCCAGGCCTGCAGAACCAGGCAAGTGAGATCCCCTAGTACAGGGAGTTTCGTAAGAGGAGCGGCTCTGCCAGGAGGTGGCGCGCCTCCTCTCAGCAGTGTGAGCAGAGGCTGCAGGCGACTAGAAAGGAGTGTGGTGGGAGGAGTTAGTGGTTGGGAGGAAGGATTGGGCTGCTCAGTCATTTCCTTACATTCCCCACAGAGCCTTGGAGGTTCTGTGCAGCCCCTTGGCGGCCACTTTGATGAGGGGCAGAGGGTGGTCAAAGGGACAGGGCCATCTCCTCCTCTAGAACTGTGCCACTCCAGGGATCTGGAGCCAGACTGACTAGGCTCCAACCCTTCCTAGATCGGGGACCTTGGGCAAGCTTTTTAAAACGTCTCTGTGCCCCCAGCTCCCTCTTCCATAAAGGGGTAATAATCTGCCTCCTTCATAGAGCTGGGCAAGGCTTGAATGACAAATGTACCTAAGGCACTTAGCTCAGGGCCTGGCACTCAGTAACATTCAATAACTCTAGCTGTTACTTTCACTGTTACTCTATTGGTTTCCACAGGACTTTGAAATCTACTGTACCACATCATCTTTAAGTCCTCAAAATTTTTGTTTATTTAGACTCTGCAAAAAATGACCACGAGGGGCCTCAGTGAGACCAGATTACGTGACTTCGCTCCACTTTCGTCTTGTAGAGCCTGCTGACCTCAGATTACAAAAAAAACTAGAGGCCATGGTGCTCTGAGCGGCCAGAGCCTCAGCCAGACAGGAAGCTGAGATGGGTGACCATCTTGAGCCCTGGCCCCAACCCGAACTGTTTACAGACTGGAGAGGCTCCACCCAGAAAGCTTTCATCTGGGTCGACTTTGGCACAACATGGGAAAACTCACTATCCTGCCACCTAAAGGAGAGAGGCCTCGTCTGGCTTCGACCTGCCATCCTTCATGGAATCTACTGGGGGACAGCAATCTCAAGAGTGGGGTGCAGCTTAGACCCCTTTCTTTCAGAACTTCCCCAGAAGTGGTTCCAGCTCCTCTGGGGAACCATGTTCAATTTATGTTTGTTTAATTATGCTTCAAGCTCTGTAGTAGCAGGACCTACTCCTTGCCCAGCCCTCTCTGTCTGTGAGGAGCTGTGGGAAGAATGGGTTTGCCTCTGGGAGCAGAAGAGAATGACAGGACATTCTGCTGCGGGGCCCTCCACCTCCACCCGCAGCAGCCTCGCTAGTGCCACCGCAACCTGGGATGAAGGCCACATCAGCCACATCTGCTGAGGGGCCCCACCCCAAAGCTGCTAGGCCCGAGGCCCTGCTGCTGGAGGCTTGTTGTGCTGGAGGCCCGGATTGGGATGGCTGTCCATCCCTGGGAAGCTCTTTGCATGAATCTTGGACATAAATCCAAGAGGAAGATTCTGTGACTGATGTTGTTTTATGTCCTGGCTGATGCTCCCTTCCTACTCAGAGTGCTGCTGTCCTGGTCCTTGACCTCTGTGCCCCATTCCCCCCAGGCTCCTGAGACCATCACTATTACTCTTGGCCAATAAATCCGGGGGCCCCCCTACCCCCACCCCATCCCCAGCTGGGGCGGCCCCTTTGAGGAAGCACCACAGTAGGCTCAGCTGCTGCAGAAAGGCCTTTACTAGGCAGGCAGGGGTGAGTCTCATGCCAGTGGGCCAGGGTGAGGGGTGAGGGCACATCCTCCGAAGTAGCGGGGGCGGCATCGCTGCCTGGGGGCCTCAGCCTGAATGCACTAAGGCTGGCCCTTCAGACAGTCTCAGGGGAGGTCCGCCCACAAGGGCTTCGGGCCCCTCCCTCATGGAGATGCCACCCCGGACAGGGGAACGTGGCCCTTGCTCTCACATCTGCCCTGGCTGCTGGGGGCGGGGCGGGTACTGTGGGGTGGGGTAGGAGGCTAGGGAGGGCCCTTCAGGAAGGAAAGTGGCTGTACTATGGAAAGGGCAGTTCAGGCAGTGTGGTAGACCCAGAAACTTCTGGGCACTTCAGAGGTGGTATCTGGAGGCAGTGGGGGATGGTGGCCCCAAAGCTGAGGTCCAGGTGGAGAACAATTGGATCTAGAGCTGGTTTGTTTTTCCTTTGGGCTCAGCTGAAAGTGAATTGTTATCATTGGAGCAGAAAACTGGAGAGAGAGGGCTGTTGCTCTCTAGCGCTCTCCACAGCACACAGCTGTGGGTACACATCGGCGCACACTCCTGGGTATTCGTGCTGGTGGACACGTGTGGCAGTACACTCGTGCATTCACACACATAGTCACACACACCTGTAGGCATGTGTGCAAACACCCACATGCACAGCAGTATAGACACAACGATATGCACACGTTCATATCAGCTTGGGGCCCTGTGTAATAGGAAGGGGTCTGGCGGGAGTGTGGTGTGGCAGGAAAAATGGATTCCTTCCTGAACGGACATCCTCCCCAGCCCTGTATGGTGGACATGGGCTGGGACAGGTCTCAGTTACTTCCCCCTGACCCCCAGGGCTGCCTGCCGCCTCATGTAGGCCAGGATGTCCATCTTGACGTTGCTGACGGTGGTCCGGTGGTGCCAGCGCATGATGGGTATACCGTCTGGTCCCACCAGGAACTTCTCAAAGTTCCAGCGGATATCATGGTTCTTCATGGGTTCCCAGAAGAGGCTGTTAGGTGAGCCCAGGAGATCCGAGGTGGGGAGACAGGAGTTCTAGAGCAGAGATAAGAGCAGAGTTAACCCAGCTTGGAGCCCCTCCCACTCCCCTTCTCCCCGGGCCTTCCTGGGGGTAGGAGACCAGCCTGGCACAGAAAACACAACACCAGTTTGGGAGTTCAGAGACTGAATCCCAGACCATCTTCAGCTCTATCAGACTGTGAGACCTTTAGCTTGTCCCTTCTGGGGCCCTGCCTGGGTCTTATTTGTAAAATTAGCTGATGAGATCGTAGGGTCTGCAAAGCCCTCTAAGCGGAACAATAGAGGACAAGAAATTCCCCGGGAGCCAGGAGCAGGGCGGGATGGCACGGGCCTTGTCTCCGCAGGGGCTGGAGCCCAGTACAGAGCCAGCGGCAGCCGGGCAGAGGCCCCTGCACAGGCAGCTGCCCACTCACCTTCAGGAACGTGTAGAACTTCTGCTCTTTCTCCCCGTTCACATCTCCTTTCTCGAAGAGTTGGAAATTAGGGACGAAGCCCCCACCCGGTCTCACGTACCTGGAGGAATGTTCACATGTGGGTCCCAAGGAGGTAGATGGGCACACAGCTCAGAAACGAGAGGACGGGACAGAGCAGGGCAGGGGGTTTGGGAATCTGGACTTTACTCCATAGTGGGCAGTGGGAGCCAATGACTGTCGAATGGGCACAGGCATAATGTGGGTCTGCAGACTTCTTTTTCCAGTTTGGCTCCTTCTCAGTAACCCCTCCCCGTCTGTAGTGGTCCCCACCCCTATCG